CCATCTGCCTCTCCAGCGAGTGAACAGCAACTTTCAACCTTTATGATTGAGGTTCGAAATCGCTTAGCTCGTCTGGAAACCGCCCATGTCGAAATTGAGCGGTTAAAACAGCCCTGGCAGAGTCTGAAGCTGCTCGTCACGCTCTCGAAGCCCAACTTGCAGCTGCTACTGGTACTACAACTAGCCTGGCTCCCAAACCATCATCATCCCACCCACCTCCTGCCACTACTACCACCACAACAGCACCAACATCAACTACATGCACCAATGCTACCTCTGCCACCTCTTCGTCTCCAGGAAATCAACCATCTTTTGCTGCCGTCGTTGCATCTAATACAGGTGCAAAGCGTAAGAAGAAGCCTGCTGCTCGTCCTCCTCCTCCATCTGCCACCAAGGCATCCGCTACTCTTGCTCGTCTTTTTGCTCCTCAAAGTGATATACCATCTGGTTATCAATTTGTGTACTATGCTACTCCTGTCCGCCGTCGTCTTTCTGAGCTGCGTCGCCTTGTTCAAGGCGTAGGATTGAATAACTCTCGTGTGCTGGATATTCAATATCCTGTACAGAATGTGATTTCTTTCCTTGTTCACAACGACTATGTTCTCACCCTCACCAAAGCCATGCATCTCCATGGTCGTGGCTCTTCTCCGTTGATTGACTTTGATCCATGTGATCCAGTCAATCTCAAAGATCCCAAATTTGCTTCTCTCTCTCGTGATCTGCGTGTCCAAAAGGCCATTGAGGTCGAAAACCTTCGCTGCCTTCGTTCGCTGTCTTTTGTCCGTCGCTCTGTCCGTGTTTCTGTTGCTCGTTCTTTTCTTTTGTATGATCGCATCAACCAAGCCCAATTTGATGCCATTTTGAAAGAAGAAATGCTTGCTCGTTCCTCCTCCTCTGCTGCTGCTAAACCACCATCCCGATCCTCTGATCAAGAGCGTTTAGCCAAGAAACAACGTTTGAGTTATCTTGGCTACCTCTTGCATCATGATGCTGAAACTGCCTCTCTTTTGGCTTATGCTGTCTCCCCACTCTCTCTGCTACCAAGGATCTTGAAATGTCAGAGCCTTCTGATAACTGATTGACACCTTGCTGTTGAAATCGTTTTGCTCTCTCATTCCCACTCTCGTTGTTTCTGTTTCTGCTGCCTTTATGGTAGTGTCTGTATTTACTTTGTCCTCCTTCTGCTGCTTTCTCGTTTGGTCTTTGTCTCTCTGCTCATTTTGCTATATGCAAATGCCTCGTTTTCTCCTTTTTTTCTTGTTTTTTTTGTGCCACTGAGGTCTGTGGGTTTATTTTGTCTGTGCTGCTGTCTGAACATCGAGGTATCCTCAATTGCATGTCTCATACACCATAGCTTCTTATTCTCTACCCTTTTATCTCACTTGTTTTACTCCTTTTTCCTGCCTGTACTTCTTTTTTACCAGTTTAATTTTTAGTTTTAGGACCTTTTTTCCCTTTTCTGGACACTTGCATGTTGTTCCTGCATGGAGATCAAACTATCAATTTAAGCTTTTTTGCTGTACGTCGCTTCTCAGGACTTGCAACTAATGATCCAAAGATCGCATGCATATAAGTCTATATTTTTTACTTTGCTAATTCATTGTAATCAATAAACAACCATAAATTTTCGCCTGAGCTACATCCCCCCCACCCTTCTTTCGCTTTTGAAATTTTATATTACGTTTCCGCCAAAATTCAGGTACCACGTGATTAGTAAATTCCAATAAGTGTATCCAAGCAGTAGTAAAACAAAGCAGTAATCACCAAACGAGCATACATTAAGTGCCTAGTACTTGAAGTATAACCTGTGAAAACCTCAGCTCGATTGAAACAGATATTCATCTTTTTTGAAAAACCCCACAAAAAACATCATATTTTTCTTTCGACATCTCAACACCTTTGTATCGATCAAACAATGACAATGGACACCGATACACCAGCTACTCTCATGTCGCAGATGGATCTGCAGAGACTAGTATTGACCATGCAACAGGACATCTCTGCCCACAACAGGCTTTGCAAGAGCTAAATGCCTTGAAAACCACTATTTTGAATCTTCCAAAAACAAAATGAATCCCTGACCCAACGAGAATGAGCGTCTGCGTCAGCAACTCAACTCTCAACAAGGTTCCACAACCACTCAAGCGCAACCCAAATCAGGTATTCAACAGCAACCCAAACCTCATTCTTCAGCTACTCAATCCACCGCCAACAAGCACCCAATGCCACCAAAAAGACTCCCAACAACTCTTGGACCGAAGTAATCAAACGTTCCAAAAAGGTTCGCAACCCTGCCGATGTAACTGACAAACATCGCCAAGCTATTACTCGTGGTTTTAACTTGGCTCCTGAAGGGCCCAAAGGCTACACAACGGGTGTACTTTAACCGCTCTCGCCGCTTCACTCGCACTGGAAGTCCGCAACAACTTGCATCTGATCAAAGCTGATGCTTCTCGTATCATTGATGTAACGTTCCCTGCTAGAAACATCATTGGCGTCCTAGTCCATTTGCAATAACAAGGACAACCTCGTCTCCATTCTCACCAAGAACAACATCAATGTTGTGGAAGGCTTTGATCCTACTGATCCCAAACACCTCGCTGACCCCAAGTTTAAAGAGATGTCCCTCTCTAAGCGTGAGGATGCTGCCTTTGACCTGCAAATCAATCGTTGTGCCAAGTCTCTTGTCTACCTTGCCAATCGTCGTTCTCGTCTTTTGCTTCTGTTGCTAATCACTTTTTGGAAAATGGTTGGACCACCACTGAATACATTGATTCTGTCGCCCCTGTCAATAACATCTTTGGCTCTTCTGGTTTCAAGAAAAGCTTTGGCTCATCTGATGTTGACATGTCTGATTCCGACGAAGAAGAGTATTAATGATTGAGAGTCCTCTCAGTCATTATACATCCTCCTCGCTCCCTGACCATCCTCTCTCTGCTTCTAATCCGTCCTCATCAATACCAACTATACTCAATAACACTATACCTACTACTCCTCCTCCTCCTACAGCTTTGGCTCCAGTCATTAATAGCGCTTCTCAACTCACTCCACTCACCATTGGCCTCTGGAACGCTCGCGGTCTCAGAGATACCACCATTGATGATGTTCTCCGTTATTGCCAATCCTTCTCTGTGCTGTTCATTACCGAAACATGGCTGAACCGCCATCCCATCCGACTACCCACCAATTGGCAGCAATTCCACTTACCTGGCGTCACTGTCGCAGGCGGTGGTCGTGGCTCTCGTGGCATTACATGCTTAATCAACCCTTCCTGTCCCCTTACAGCATTCCAGACGCCTTTGCCCTCTGCTCTTCAAGAGTTTGCTTTGGGTATTCAACTTGGTCGTGAACTTCGGCTCATTTGTCTGTATATACCACCTGAGCAAGCGGATCTCTATACTGAAAATGTCTCTTCCATCCTGAATGCGATCCCGTTGGATCATGACACAATCATCTGTGGCGATCTGAATGCCCGCATGGGTAGCTTTGTTGGTGACTCCTCTACAAATAACCGTGGTCGTCTACTTCAAGAGTACTGTGCCGATAATCAATTAAACGTTTTGAACTGTCAATTAGCCCACTCTACACCTACCTTTGAGGACCGTCGTAGTGGGCGGAATGTAAGTAGCATTGTCGATTACTACATCTCAAATGTAGAATCACTTTCCTTTGCCTCTCTGGATACCTCATCTCCACCTTCTTCCTCCTCAATTAGTATTTACTCTGACTTGTCTTTGGGATCTGATCATAAACTGATGTCTCTGACGTTTGATTACCACTCAAACGAACCTGCTCTTGCTATGCCTGCTACGCCATCACCATCACCTCGTCTCCTATGGAAGCTCTCACGTCTACAAGAAACGGATGTACGCAATTTGTATGCACAACGCTTTACAGCCCTCTCTCAACCGTTGCTACAACAGCTGATCTCGCTTGTGCGCTCACCACCTGATACACAACCTCCAATTGATGCCCTCAACAGTGATCTCACCAATTGCATATATCAGGCACTGGATGAATCCGTTACTCGGCAATCCCAGCGACCCAACTTTTGGAAGAAATTCTGGACCCTCGATCTTCAACGGCTCTGTGATCATCGTGAAGCTCTCTATCGTAAATATCGTCGTTGTCCCGCTTCATTGGACAAGGCATATTGGTGGAATCAACATGTGGAAGCACATCAAAAGTTCAAACAAGCCCTTCGTAGAGCTAAACAGGTTTCGTGGCACGCATTCTGTGAATCTTTATTCAAGCAAGACTTTTCAAAGGCCATGTCAAAAATCAAGTTGATCAAATCCAGACGACAAAGACAATCAGGGTATCTACATGTGGACGGTGCTCAAGCTGGTGCTAATGCTATGCGTGATCACCTTGCTACCATTTATGCTGGATCCAATCTCCCAACAAATCGACCTCCATGCCCTTTTGCTACACATGGTAGACATCTGCCATATGGTGTTCCTCCTCCTCAGTCAGCCTCCCATCTTGGTGGTACTCGTCTGGCAAATGGTGACATCAGTACATTGAATCCGCATGCTTCTCCTTTCATCCCATCATACCTCTCACATAGAACTCTACCACATGATGACTCTGACCCAACACGTCGTGTTGTCTCAGCATCGGTCCACAACGAAGCTTTTGACGAGATTATTAGTATTGACCATATCATTCAGCAGATCAAGTCGTTGCCATACCGTAAAGCACCTGGCCGTGATTCAATTCGTGGTGAAATGCTGAAACCCATTCAGAAACCACTTGCCACTGTTCTGTCATACCTCTTTGCTCTGACCTATCAATGGTCTTACACACCAGCGGATTGGCGTCATGGTAATGTTTGTAGCATCTACAAGAAGGGACCTGTCACGGAGGCATCAAGCTTTCGGCCCATCTCATTGACTAGTACACTGAGAAAACTCTTTGAAATGTGCCTTGCTCCCCTTGTCCTCACCATTTCACCACCATTAGATGTAGCCCAGAATGGTTTCCGATCCGCAAGAAGTGCACTTGATAGTGCTCTTAGTCTCCAAGACTTAATGAAAGACTACCAGAACCAACACTACCACTGGCCAACTGTGTGCTTCCTTGATATCAAGAGTGCCTATGATGTTGTTGATCGCCGTGTGATCTGGAATTCGCTGCTCTCTGCCAATGCTCCAATGCCACTTGTCTCATTGCTCTCCAATTTGTTTGACGATGTTTCCATTTCAGTGCTGAATCAGCAATGCGTGTCCCAAGAACTCTCACTGCATACTGGATTGCTTCAAGGCTCCACCCTTAGTCCCCACTTATTCAGTATCTTTATCAACTCACTGCCAGCTTTGTTGCGTCAAGCTGCATCGTCCTCCACCACTCGTGTCATGTCAACATCACCATCATGTGCTCCCTCTCCTCTTTGGTCCGTCATAACACCCACTCATGCTACTAATATTGCTATTAATGCTTTATTATATGCTGATGATGTTGCTATTCTAGGTTCTGCTCGTGAAGTAAAACAGATGCTGACACTAGCTGAATCACATTCCCTTGCACTTGGGTATCGCTGGGCTCCTGCCAAATGTGCTATCATCAATCCACCGTCCTCCACCTCATCTACCTTTGTTGACCTGACCTTGTATGGAGAATCTCTTCCTGTTGTCGATGAATTTGTGTATCTCGGTATTCCATTTGACCGCAAGGGCATCTGCACAGCATCTATTGTCAAGAAATGTCAGCGTGGTACCATGGCTTCGATGGCTCAGCTTAACTCCATTGGATGCAATCGTTCTGGCTTCCCTCTGCTCTTCTCCACCAAATTGTATGCTTCATTCATCAGACCCAAACTGGAATATGGTATTGGCATTGCCAATATGCGTGTTGCTGATTTCAAGGCTCTTGAAAAGGTCCAAGATACGTGCCTCCGCATGATATTTGGTGGCCATCGTGCTGCTTCCACCATGGTGTTTCGACACATGACAAATCTGCCTCTGATGCGACAACGTGCTGCTATACTGGTGACTCAATTCTGCTTGCGCTCACAATTCCTCCCAGAAGATGGCCTGCTGATACTGCTCTCTGATTCTCTACCTGGTTCATCTTTGAAAAGATTAAAAAAGCAACACATGGCTGCCCGCGCGCTTGATGAAGTACCTTTTGCAAATCAACGTCACATGAAACAATGGTTCCTTGCTGAACGCCAACATTGGCACGCTGAGTTCCTGACAAAAACAGACATGGTGCTGATCCGTGCTTGCCGACCCACTATTGGCATTGATCCTGTTATGTATGTACCTGCCAGTCGTCCTTGTCGTAGTCGTCTTATTCGTTATAGAATGGGATGGCTTCCGGGTAAGCCACGACCTTGTGCATGCAATGAAGATCATACATCCCGTCGCCATCTACATGAATGCCCCACTTTGCCACCTACTTTGCTTCTGTCTCTTCCTGTTCCGCCTGCTGACTTCACCGGCACCATCATTGACCATGCTTTGAACTTGATTCCATCCTCCTCATCTCCTTCCAACTGTCCACCCTGGTGGTCTGATCTCTGTACCTTGCTGTGACATTTTGACCAGCTCTGTAATCCCGATGGCGATTACACAACGGATCCAGTTCCAGGACAAGTGTGGGCTTCCCCGGCCTAACATGCGTCTACTGACATCCTGCTCTGTGGTGAACCGATTGTGATCTGCTTCCTCTGTTTGCCCCTCCACTGCTACACTCTTTTACGCACGATGCGAGGGAATTCATGTTGTCTTTGATCTTTCTTATTAGCCATGTGCCTCCCACCCACCACCCAGACAATTCAAATATTGCATAGCGTTCCTGAAATATTTGTCGCTCCCTGAATCCCAGAACCTTGGTTCTGACACTTCCTCACGTTCGCCTCCCAAGTGCTAGCAATAATGATCAAAAGATCGAATGCATTTAGCCTTTACTTTATTAATTTCTTCTTGCTTTTAATAAACACATACATTTTCGCCTGAGCTACATCCCCATCTCTTTCCGTTTTTCATCACTTTTTGCCACCTTCCCCCGGTAAAAAGTATTTCCTCACTATAAAAGCGGTTTATCTCGACAACTAGTTCACCAAACAATACCAAATTACAGCAGTAGACTTGCGTTTATCCATAGTTTATTGTATATTAATTTCAGTCTTGTTGAACAACTTGCCAGTTTCTTTGAATCCTAGTAATTTTTCACAAAATGACTACGCCAATCTCTCAAAGCCTACAAGGTTTTGACATCAGTCAGTTGCCCATGTTACTTGAGCACATTCAGCAGCAACTTGCCTCAGTTCAGGAGAAAGTACATGAACATGACCACCTCTTGGAGCGTATGAACAAGTTAGAAGAGGAAAACCAAGCCCTAAAAAAAAATCTTTTGGCCAAGGACCTGGTAATTCAAGAATTACAGGGCCAACTATCACGTGGAACTACTCAAGCCCCTACACCTGAGGTAGATCAGGAACGTCCGTTCATCTCTCAGGTCGTACAGTCCCAAGATCCTGCTACTACTGCTAGTACCACTACTGCTACCGATACTGCCACTAAAGGTAGTTATCTCTCTGCTGCTCGCTCTGGAGCTAAACGCCCTGATCCTGTTCGTACAGCCAAACGCCGTCTTGCTGCTGGCCGTCTCTTCCAATCTGCTGCTGTTAAGGGCCAACAGGGATACCAATATGTCTACCTTGGTAGATCTGGTAAGATCCAGCGCTCTGAGGTTCGTGCTACCCTCCGTAAGGTTGGTGTTGATACTGGTCGTGTTCTCGACATTTGTTTCCCTGCTTCTGGTGTTATTGGAGTTCTGGTCCATATCCAATATGTCGACACTTTTCTTGCTTACATGCACAAGTGCGAAGCTGAGCTCATCGAGAATTTTGAGCCTCTGGATCCCAAGCACATTGCTGATCCTCAATATGCAAACCTTGCTATTGCGGATCGAGAACAACTGATCTACGAGTTTACAAACACTCGTGCTCTGCAAACTCTTTCCTTCCTTCGTCCTCTCAATGTCAGTGGTGTTGGAAAATACTTTGTCTCTGCTGGATGGATTTCCCAAGAGGAACTTGATACAGCTGTTTCCGAAGCCATGGGCCGCCTTGCTGAAAAAGAACCCAAGAAGGCTCAATTCTTGCTCAAGCGTAGAAAAGCTTCTGACAGCAATGACTCTGCTATGGAACTCTAATGAGCTCTATAATACATCAGAGTCATATCAACAACAACCCCGTCCACTCCTTTCCTGTCTCTCTTTCCCTTTGGAATGCCAATGGTCTCCGTCAATCAGTTGTGCACGATGTCCTCTCACATGTATTGGATACGCATGTTCTCCTTGTCACTGAAACTTGGCTTCTATCTGGTTCTTTCCCTTCCGACTGGTCTCAATTCCATCTATATGGCACAAAAGTACCTGGCGCTTTTGGCCGTGGTTCTGGTGGTGTTACAGCCTTTGTCTCTCCTTCCTGTCCTTTCTCTGTCTCTCAACTCCCGTCTTACAATCCTCACACTCTGTCCCTTAAGGTTGGCACCCTTACGGTTCATTGTGTGTATCTGCCTCCACCCTTATCCTCGGATAAGGTGCTCTCGCTCCTTCGCTCGTTACCTATAACTAGTGATACAATCCTTTGTGGTGATTTCAATGCTCGCTTTGGATCTCTACTAGGTGATACTACTGCTAATCCCCGTGGTAACTCTCTACTACCATGGATTGAGGAGGCTTCGTTGTCGATCCTCAATGAGTCTCTAGCTTATGGTACACCCACCTTTACAACATTTCGGCGACAACAAGAGGTACACAGCATCATTGATCTGTTCCTTACCAACATTGGCGAGACGGCTATGTTGAATTCTCAACTGGTGGTTGACTCTGATCTGTCCCTTGGTTCTGATCATCGGCTGATGGTACTTACTTTCGAGTATGTGCCCCCTCCCGATGATACTCTTGGTTCTGGTAACTCTGGTGGTTTGGCCCCTAGACGGCAATGGAAGCTCTCGAAATTGAGGAAAAAGCGGCCTTTGGGCTTGCTTCGTGAATCCTTTCGATCTTCTGTTGCTCCTTTGGTTGATTCTCTCTCTGGTTTGGTCTCTGCTCCTGATGGAGTTCGTCCTGATATTGATGCACTCAATGATTCTCTGAATTGTTGTTTGTATGAATCTCTTGACGGGTCAATTGGTGTGAAATCTGGTCGCCCTGGTCACTGGAAAAAGTACTGGACACAAGAAATTGAAGATGCAGCTCGTGAAAGAGATGCCTCATATAGTCGATGGCGATGGGCAAGTGGCTTTGCCAAAGTTGAAACATGGGGTATATATCAAACTGCTCTTAGACGTTTTCGCTCTCTGATACAGGCTGCCAAAAGAAAGTCGTGGAACACATTCTGCTCTAATCTGGAAAAGGATTTCTCTAAAGCTACTGCTGCTATCAAACGCATAAAGCGAAACAAAGAATCCTCTGCTACTTATAGCCATCCAGATGGTCCAGCTGCTTCAGTAACAGCAATGGCATCACATCTTGCATCTGTATACAATGGTACACTCCTTAACTCTGCTTCTCGTCCTGTTGCTCCTGAACCGAATGTATCGGATCTACCCTACAATGATCCCTCTGTTACAAATCTGTTTGATGCTGATACTATTGTCTCTCTGATTAAGCGATTGCCAAATGGAAAAGCTCCTGGTCCTGATCATCTGAAAGCTGAAATGCTGAAGGCTCTAGCATCTGACATTGCACCCGTATTGTCTCTGCTATTTACGCTTTGCTCTCAATGGTCGTACACTCCTGTATTGTGGCGTCATGCTCAGGTCTTTCCCATTTACAAGAAAGGTGATGTATCTGATCCTGCAAACTTTCGTCCAATTTCGCTCACTTCGGTGATGCGTAAATTGTTTGAATTTTCATTGATGCCTGCTCTTGATGAACATTCGCCTGCACTTGATGTTGCTCAAGGTGGTTTTCGTCCACAACGTAGTCCTCTGGATCAAGCCCTCTGTTTACATGACTTGATGCATGACTACTTCCTCACTCATCACCACTATCCTGTTGTAGCCTTTCTGGACATCAAATCTGCATACGATACAGTGGATCGCAACGTTATTTGGGATGCTCTTGCTCATTCTTCACTACCTCGTCCAATCCTTAGTTTATTGATCAATATGTTCGATGATGTACTAGTCTCTGTACTGATTGCAAACCACAACTCTGACCCTTTTTCGCCTGCTACTGGTGTACTCCAAGGTTCAGTGCTCAGTCCGCACTTGTACTCTCTGTACATCAACTCTCTGCCTGCTGTTCTTCGTGCTGCTGTCAACCGTGGTACTATGGTATCTCCACCCGGAATGCATCCTGTTCATATCAATAGTTTACTCTTTGCTGATGATGTGGCCATATTTGGCTCTCGTACTGATGTGCAAACCATGTTGGATGTCGCTTCAGATCACTCGTTCTCTCTTGGCTACAGATGGAAACCATCAAAATGCGCTGTACTTTGTGCTCCTACTGCCTCTACTCGTCATCCATTGTCTCTATACGGTGAACCTCTTCCTGTGGTAGAGGAATTCACGTATCTTGGTATGCCGTTTAGATATAAAGGTCTGTATGCCCCTGGGATTCTCAATCTGCGTGCTTCTGGTGCTATCAAGACAATAGCATTATTGAATTCGGTTGGTGTCAATCGAAATGGTTTTTCTCTGTTGCTTTGTGCTCGTTTGTATAAAAGCTTTATTCGACCCAAGCTGGAATACGGCTTAGCTATATCTCATCTCTCTTTCCGTGACTTCAAGGCTCTTGATGCTCTGCAAAATCGATTGGTTGGTATGTTTGTTGGTAGTACGTGGTACAATGTTGCCAAACATTTGACCTGTATTCCCAGCATGAAGCATCGATATAATGTCCTGGCAACACGTTATGCTCTTCGTGCTGATACTCTCCCTGATGATTGCTTGTTGGTTCTGCTTCGTCGTGGATTACTGTACACTCGTCTAGACAGATTTATTTGTCAAAACCCGTTGTATCTGACACTACCTGATCCGCCGCCATTCACCACTGCTGGTCTTACTGAAGTCTTTGATTCGTATTGGCAAGATCAAGTAGATCGTCAACTTGCTGCTGCTGCTGTTTCTGGTACCCAGACCCTCCTCCGTGCTTGTCGTCGTTCTGTATCTCGTCCAGATCCCATTTTGTACCTACCAATTGGTCGATCTGCTCGAAGTCGCCTTGTTCGCTGGCGTCTTGGACGTTTCACAAACATGCGTGAAGAGTGTCCGTGCGTGATGGGTGATTTTATATCTCGAAATCACTTTCTGACATGCCGTGCTCTGGATCGAACACTTCTCGATGCTCTGCCTGTGGCTCCTCCTGGTATTCATCGTATAGACTATGCCCTTAATTGCTTACCTGTGAAAGCCTCTGATGGTCCTCCATCTTATTGGTCTGCTTTGCTTGCTCTGCTTCATGCCATTGATTGTTTAGTGCATCCGCTGGCTGTCATCCCTGCTGATCTTGATTCAGGGTTGTTATGGTTCTCTGCTAGATAGTCTCTTCATTGATGAACGTTTGATGTTTTGTT